AAATTTGCCCTTCTCATGTGATATTTATTCAATATTAGCTCTTCACCCCATGGGTCATTTATCCAAAATTTGCCCTTCTCATGTGATATTTATTCAATATTAGCCCCTCACCCCATAGGTCATTTATCTAAAATTTGCCCTTCTCATGTGACATATTCTGTCATTAACGTGAATATGTATACTACCAGTAAAGCAAGGATGATTATTTTGTTGCGGTTCTCATTAAACATAAAAAAACAACACTGTTTATTTTACAGGTACTAAGAGTTCTATACCCACATATGCCAAGAAATTCAGATGAGTTAGAGTTAATAAACGATGATTACATATTTATGTCAAGTGACGAATACACAAACAGCACAGATGGCTGGTTTAAAGGTACATCATGGTTAACAGGATGTTCAGGACTCTTTCCTGGTAACTACACTGAGAAGTCTTCACAGTCCGATACATGGACGTTGCACAGGTAAGATACGTATAGAGAATTTACATCTTATACTGATACTGCTGTCAGAATTATTGAATCGTTAGGGTTGTATAATCTTCATCTCATTTGTTTTATTTTCATGTTATATTACCAAGATATTTTTTGGATAGTGGATATAATTATATAGCCTAAATGTACACGCAGTGTTTCCATTATGGACCAGTACTACACTGGATTGACTTGGAGTGTTTTCATTATGGACCAGTACTACAATAGAATGACATGGAGTGTCTCCATTATAGACCAGTACTGCACTGGACTGACATGGAGTGTCTCCATTATAGACCAATACTACACTGGACTGACATGGAGTGGCTCCATTATAGACCAGTACTACACTGGACTGACATGGAGTGGCTCCATTATAGACCAGTACTACACTGGACTGACATGGAGTGTTTCCATTATGAACCAGTACTGCACTGGACTGACATGCAGTGTCTCCATTATAGCCCAGTACAACACTGGACTGACATGGAGTGTCTCCAGTATGGACCAGTACTACACTGGACTGATATGGAGTGTCTCCATTATGGACCAGTACTACACTGGACTGACATGGAGTATGTCCATTATGGACCTGAGTACTACACTGGACTGATATGGAGTGTCTCCATTATGGACCAGTACTACACTGGACTGACTTGGAGTGTCTCTATTATAGACCAGTACAACACTGGACTGACATGGAGTGTCTCCATTATGAACCAGTACTACACTCGACTGATACGGAGTGTTTTCATTATGGATCAGTACTACACTGGACTGACATGGAGTTTCTCCATTATGGATCAGTACTACACTGGACTGACATGGAGTTTCTCCATTATGGATCAGTACTACACTGGACTGATATGGAGTGTTTTCATTATGGATCAGTACTACACTGGACTGATATGGAGTGTTTTCATTATGGACCAGTACTACAATAGAATGACATGGAGTGTCTCCATTATAGACCAGTACTGCACTGGACTGACATGGAGTGTCTCCATTATGGACCAGTACTACACTGGACTGACTTGGAGTGTCTCCATTATAGACCAGTACAACACTGGACTGACATGGAGTGTCTCCATTATGGATCAGTACTACACTGGACTGACATGGAGTGTCTCCATTATAGACCAGTACTACACTGGACTGACATGGAGTTTCTCCATTATGGATCAGTACTACACTGGACTGATATGGA